GCTCCAGGAGAGCTGGAGAGGAACTGGGGATAAGGCATGGAGGGACAGGACACAGGGAATAGCTTCCACTGCCAGAGGGCATGGATGGATGGGATACTGGGAAGGAATTGTCCCCTGTGAGGGTGGGCAGGCCCTGGCACAGGGTGCCCAGAGCAGCTGTGGCTGCCCCTGGATCCCTGGCAGTGTCCAAGGCCAGGTTAGATGGGGCTTGGAACAACCTGGGATGATAGAAGGTGTCCCTGCCCATGGCAGGGGATGGAATGGGGTGAGCTTTAAGGTCTTTCCCAAGCCAAACTACTCTGGGATTCTGTGACTATAAAACCATGCCCTGGTACAGTAGAGGAATGCTCTGTTCTTGGCTCTGATGAAGCTCTTTGGTGACCAACTCATCCTGGTTGTGTTCTCTCTTTCCCATCAGTTACACTGTTGGATCAGTGCAAGAGAACAATGACCAGGTGTGGAACTTCCAGTGCTTTTTCCTGGTGCAGGAATACTGCAGTCGCCTGACCATCTTTGCCTACATATTCATGATGCTGAGGAAATGCTTCAAGTGCTGCTGTAACAAAGAAAGCAAAGATCCATCCATTTGTTGTGAGTTGGATTTTTCCTTGTTGACCAAAAGTCATCTCTGCAGCAGGTGCATTGCAGTTCCTCCATGGCATCCTGTGCTTATTCCAGGCATTTTGTGCTGTGCTGGGAGATTTCCAAGGGCCATGTAGACCTCTGTCATGCAAATCCACTGTGCTGCTGGAAATCTCTTCAGTAAGATTCAAGTTTTCAAGTGATATTTATCCAGTGCTCTCTTATCTAAGCCATTTCCATGTAGAATTGCCTTGTGTGTTGTAATTCATCAAGACTTCAGATTAATCCTAATTCTTTAGGGCTGCTTGTGCTATTTCTCAGCTTTGCAAGGTTGTGGGTTTGGCTTTTTTGTAATTCATTCTTCTTTCTAGGGAGTGACAGAAAGAGAACAAACAGTTTCCATGTAGCCAAATGAGCAAACCACCTCAAAAATGTGACAAGTCAATGCTCAAGCTATTTCTCCTTTTTCTGTTGGGGGACACAGATAGGAATTGTTTTAACAAGCCTTCCCCCTTGCCTCTCCAGCAAATATAGTGTTTTCTCAGCTGAGAGAGAATACATTGAATTAATTGACAGGCTTTTTCCCATCCATCAATAACCTGCCTGGTGCCCTGCAGCAGAAGCTGGATTTGTTACCAGTTTAGGAGGAAGGGCTTTCTTTGGGGTATAAAATTGTTTAGCACTAAATCATTTTGGCTGTCTAAATTGCTGTGTGGATTTCTTGCTGGGGAAGCTGTTGGGTGGCAGAAATTCCTGCTCAAATGATGCACAGTTGATGTTGCAGCTCTGAAAGAATGAGAGAGTTAATTAGAGCCAGAAAATGGTTGTGGTTTTGCTGATGATAGGAACTGAGAACTGCATGGAGGAAGCACACTGATGTATTGACTGTGGTAAAATCCTGCCTTCCCCTTTAACTCTTATGGAAATGGTTGGGATTTGAGTGCTTAGATGCTTGTTGGATTGTGGGGGAACAGCTGAGGGGTTTGTGAGGTCAGAGGAGCACTGGGTGGAAGAAAGGGACTTCATCCATTCACCAGCCTGGGGCTTCTTCTGTCTCAGTTTATTTTATTTTTTTATTTAAACCCCTGTGGTTTATTGTGTCCTTTTGGAACATGACAAAATGCTGAAGTATTACCCTGGATGTCTTTGATGCCTCAAAGTGGGCTTCTCTGTATCAGCTCTTGAATTTACAGCACCATCATAAAATGCTTCTTAGAGAAGACAATTCTTCATCATTTTGGAGTGTTTCAGTTCAATCAAAAATCATATATCATGGTCCTTAGAATTGTTACTCCTAATGATCCAATATGGGGTAATGTAGAAACAAATGGAAAGCTCAAACCCAGATGGGATCTTGCTAGAATATCCTGTACCTGTTGAAGCAGAGGCACCTGTGTTAACCAAGACTCAAAAAAAGTACAGAACGACTTCTGGAGCTTGTAAGGTTGTGGGTTGGTTTTGTGTTTGCTTATTTGTTGGGTTTTGGGTTTTATGTTTGCTCGTATTTTGTGTTTTTAAGTGACTCTGGTTGCCAGGAGCATTCAGTGAAAGGCGTTAGTGTCACATCTGTGAGAGCTGAGTCACAGGTGGGCAGTGGGGCTGTGAGTGCTCAGGATGTGGAGAAGGGAATCATTAACCTCTGAATGCACACACTGACCCAGCCGCTTTGCACCTTGGCTTTCGAACACAAATTAAGTATTTTTCTTTCAAATACATTTCCCAGGCTCAAGAATGAGGACAATGAAATCCTGGCATGGGAAGCTGTCATGAAGGAAAATTACCTTGTCAAAATCAATACAAAAGCAAATGATTCATCAGAAGAGTAAGCCTGCCTATCTTTGTCTTCATTCTCTTACTTTTCTCTTGAACATTTCTAGTGAAGGCATATTTTCAGCCGCTCTAGGTGTTTACAAACTAATGAGTAAGTAAATAAACTCAGCATAAATGTGCTTTTTATTTCTGAAGTGAAATGGTGCTTTTTTTTGTTTGCTGAAGAGAAGACAAAAAAAAAGTCTTCCCATGGTGTTTTGAGATCTTATCATGGGAAGCAGTGCCACAGCTGACTCTTGCTGTAGCATTAGTTTAGGCTGGATATTAGGAAAAAGTTCTTTATGGAAAGGGTTGTCCAGCCCTGGAACAGACTTCCCAAGGCAGTGGTGGCACCCCCATCTCGGCGTGGGGATTTAAAAGCTGTGTGGATATGGCACTTGGGGACCTGAGTTAGTGGTGGAATTGGTTGGACTTGATCTTTTCCAACTCAAATAATTCTATGATTTTACATTTAGCAGAGAATGTTTACTGTTGGACCTGGAATCTCAGACATTCCCACAGCAGTAATCCAAATGGAGATGTGTAATTAGTAGCATGAGTTGTGGAGACCTCTGAGGAGGGGAAGATGGTCTTTAGAATCATGGTATTTGAAACTTTGGAGACTTACGCTTGGATATTTCTTTGACTGCCAGCTCATGGAAAGATTATCTTTGGGATCTGTCTCACTGTTTTCAGAGTAACAGTATAAGAGGAAAAAAAAAAACAACAAAAACTGAAAGAAAGCAAGAAAACAGAACACTGCTCGAGAACAAAACCTGCTCTGTATGATTGCTTAACTTTGCTAACTTCTGGCAGCTTGAATATTTCTCTTAATCAGAGAGAGCTGATAGGAATGGACAAGAAAAACCAGACCCTTCCATATCTGTGGGCATGAACATTGCCGTCCACAAATAAGTGTTTAGGTTAAGACTACCCAGAGACAAACAGCATTGCGTGAGAAGCCAAACAAATACCAAAAACATTTCCTTGGTACTGGAAGCAAAAATGTCTTGAGAAGGAAAATGTAATAGCATCCTACTAATAGTAATTTGCATGTTAGTTAATTTACTTGTACATTTTTACTTGTAAAAATGATGCCAGTCACATGCAGCCCTGCCTCCCTGGGAGGATGGAGCACTGGGGAGAGTTGGGGTGTGGTAATTAGCCAAGTTTTCCTTGGTATCCAGACTGATCCCATTGCTTCATGTTCTCCTTCTGCTTCTAGGATGGTGCATCGATTCAGACAACTGGATGCAAAGGTACTTCTGTCCCAGATTGCTCCGGGAAAAGTGATTCTCTCTGGTAAAGCACGGGGTGTGCCATGGCAAGGAAAATGAGACTCCCAGAGTTGTGTGCAGTCTTTGTCACTGTCACCAGGACCCCATTTTAATTGGGCTTTTTTACCGTGCTCTTTTGATTCCATAGATAGGAGTGTGTAGGGCGTGTAGTGATTAGGACAGAAGGGAATGGTTTTGAACTGAGAGGAGGATTAGATGGGATAATAGAAAGAAATTCTTGGCTGTGAGGGTGGGCCCACCCTGGAACAGGGTACCCAGCGAAGCTGTGGCTGCCCCTGGATCCCTGGAAGTATCCAAAGCCAGGCTGGATGGGGTTGGAGCAGCCAAAAATGAGCTGTGAGATCCCTTCCAAGCCACAAGAGCTTTCTAATGTGCAGGAAAATGAAACAAAAACACTTGCTTAGCACTGGAGGAGTGTTTCTCAATATTCCTTGTGGGATGGACTAAAGCAGAAGTAATTTCCATCTTAAACTGCAACATTCTGCTGTCTAACTGGTCCATGAAACGCCAGTGGGAAGAAGGGGTGTCACACACTTGACATGTCCCCGTCCCAAAGGTGTCTGTCAAGTTTGGCTTCTGGTGGTGTTGGCATGGTGTAATTAAGCAATATAAGGCTACCCATATACCAGAGAGCACATTATGAGTTTTGTCATACAAATAATTTTTTATGACTGTGATGTTGAAATGGGTATGTGTGTTCACAATGGTTATTTTCTGAGGCTTGACTGAATTATCTGTTTGGCCTCTGAAGTGGGGAGTGGCTTTGGTATGAAGCACAGACTTTTTGGGAAGCTCAGGTGAAAAGACCCACATATACTTCAGAGTACTTTTTTTGGTTACTGTCAAATCATTTAGATTGCAAAATAATAGCTTGCTTCCAGACTGAAAGGGAAGTGGTGAGTGAGTCTGTGGTTAGTGATGCTGCTCTTGAAACTGAAAGGAGATCTGCTAACCTTAATTCTCTCCTGAAAATAAATACC